TGTTATTAAGCAATTCAAACGAAATTTTTTAAATATTCACTCACCAATCGCTGCTTGAACGGGTGACGTGCTCACCAACATCATCAACACTGTTAACAGCATGCCAACTACCGTAGTGGTGGGTGTGGCACTTATGGAAATTTTCGCTGGTGGAATTCTTCGTCTTGATAGCAACATGTTGTAGGCAAATGTTGCGTCAACTTTTCGCTAAATTATGGATGCAAATTTTGTAGATTTAAACCAGAGCTACAGTTTTACGAGTTTTGCACTGCACTGAAATGATTCAGTTTTTTTTTGTAAACGAGATTGTTGTTACTTTTAAAATACTTCAGAAATTTTAAAGTTTTTTCTTTAGCCAATTGGTTGACTATTCATTATTATTTTTCAACTTGTTTGTGCGCTCGCTAACTTTCAATTTTGTTATTTGTTGCGCTTGTTTTCACTTCTCGCATTGGCATTGCTCGCCTCACGATTGCATCCGCTTACTTTTTTATGTTTTAATGCTGCTACGCTTTCGTCTTCGTCATTGACTTTTTCGTTGTCGCTTTTGTCGTAGGATCTTTTGCTTATTTTGCTCTTTCAGGGTCGCATGCGCTGCTTCGATGCCACTTACGCGCCGGGTTTCAAAAATGTGTATTTTTGTGTAATTGTTGTTGTAATGCGTATGTATGTCAGTTGGTTTGGTTGAATATGTCGCTATTTTATCTAACTTTTTTGATGGTGACACGTAACGTAACCAATGATGGATTTTAATCTTCGATCAGTAGCAAAGATTGCGTTTGTGTGTATGAGTTACGATGAAAATTTCGCGGTGCCCACAAATTGAACCTTTTTTTACATAATTATGTATATCTTTTTGAATTATGTATTCTTTGGTATTAAAGATTGCTATATCCCTTTTATTAACTATGTATGTGTACATTAATTAAAGTACATTTAGTGTTTAATGCCTTTTTCTTGCACAACTTAACTCTTACTTTTGTTAATCATATTTTTTTATTTTTTCACTTTGGATAATTTCACTATTTTTATTGAATTTATGAAATATGAATAGTTTTTGAATATGCTTTTAGTAGTTATAATTTCATATTCCCCGGTGTTGGATTATGCTGTAAAACAAAGAAAACGAACTTAAATAAATAAAATATCTAAAAACAATTATATTTATAAATGGTTATAAAAATATTTATGTACAGTAAAACCCGCTTAAGTAGCTCACAAAAAATGTCAGCTTTTTGAGGTACTTAGGCGGGTTGGGTACTTATGTAAATGAACCCGTTTAAGTACCTCGATGCGGATACTTAAGCGAACATAATTATTGATGTAGTCACAACTTCTTGTTAACTTACATAAATATGTAAATAATTGAAAACACATGAACATTTTGGGCAAAATTCACAGTGCATAGTTAACTTCGAATCGGCAGTTAACAACGCTCTGTGAATTTGACCCTAAATGTTTCATTAAAAAATCTGTAGTTAACTGCCGAACCTGAGTTATGTGAATTTGGTCCTTAAAGAAGTAAACATAGTTTAAAGCCAAATAGCAGAACTGTTTAAACACATAAACAAATAAAAAGAAACTTTACTAAAAAATATATATATAATGCAATATATAATGAATTAAATTCTTTACAAATTCAAAGTTGGACATATCACTTTGGGCTAAATTCAAAATGATATTGTTTGCCAATGATGTTTATTTATTGATTTTTAAAATTTTTCAATCAATTAAATATGACCGTTCATCCCCTAATAAATACCATATAAACTTAAGCTTAAAATTTCAAACTTTTTTCTGAGAAGTGTTTTTTGAGTATACAGTTTTATAACCCATTTAATTTTAGTGTTATAATTTGCAAGTTTCAAGTGACTAAAAATAACCGTTGATTTTTTTGAATTTTTACCAAAGGTTTGTAGCGCTGCCACTGAATTTCAAAATATGTAAATATTTTAAAAGAGCACTTAAAAGGGGAAAATTATAAGCAGAATGGTAAATGATGCGCGGAAAATTTAGGTACTTAGGCGGGTTGGGTAAATAAGCAGGGCGGTACTTAAGAGAGGGAGTTTCTTCAGGTTACACTAAAAAATTCACGGTGCCCAAAAATGTTGGGTACTTAAGCGGGTTTCACTGTATTTGCCAATTTAATGCGGCGCCCAAAAAAACCGTATAGTAGAAATGCATCGAAACATACATACCTAGATACATTTTTATATACTCCACGCAAATATGTAAAAGAAAAGCTGACTGCATTCGCTTACTAATGAAGAAGTCATCGATTTTCTTTTACACAAACCTAAGGTTTTTAAATGCGACTTTTTCAAGCTAAAATATTCATGATGGCGGCATAAATAAGGAGGCGGCAAATCAGTATTTGTTATTTCTCTAGAGATACAAACGCAAACAAATTTTCTTTAAGAAGTTTCCAATAACAAAAGATCAAGAGGTGTTCGGTTAAAAAAAAAATATAATAATCAAAATGATAGTACCTTTGGAGTCATTAAATTTTCCTTCCCCCTTTACCCTTAATTAGGCGCTTAAAGAAAATAACCAATGGGCTCCCCAGTGACCCCACTAAAAGTGTTGAAAAAAGAGTTTTCACAATAAAAAACGAAGTGTGTATTATCAAAAATATTAAAGTACTCTATTACACGGTGAAATACACCCGAAAGAAAACCTTGTTTGGGTTGTAGGTATCGTCGAGTACAATTTGAAAATAGGTCCCGCTACGGGATAGTAGTAATGGATTATCTCCTGAAGAAACCAAAATGGGGAACATTTCTTTAGGAATGTTTGGCTTATTTTTGAGTCCCAAATACCCAAAGTTTGATCATTAAATTTCCGACCACTCTGTATATATGTGTTTAAATAGTGGACTGACTAATGTAGATATTTTTCATATGTAACAAAACAATATTGTTGATTAAATAATCAAATAAGACGAATCGGGGTATTCTCTAAATATAACTGCAGGCTTAAAAAAAAACGGCTACATTTCAATAACATTTACTACAAAATAAATGCAACACTGACAGTGAGTGGCACGAGTAAAACGCTCTCGCGGCACTCGCACTTCAGACGATTCATCCCCTTTTTAACTCTAACTCTCACTACTCGTTGCAACTGGACTGAATAAGTTTGTGCTGTAAATTTGAGTGAATGTCTCATGGGGAAGTTTTTTTTTGATACTCATGCAGATGTTTAATCTAATGGTTCATCCAATGGTGCCCATACTGGCGTCCTTGATAGTGCCCTTACAGGTATCTCGCGTTTCGATTGTACCCCTAATGGTACATCTACTGGCGCCCATACTGGCGTCCACGATGGTACTTTTATTGTTATCACGTGTTAGGTATGAGAGAGACAGATTGTATTATGGGCTCTGTGAATAAGGATATCATTTTTCTGGGTTACTACCGCACGTATCATCATTTCTTGAGGAATACATTGCAAAGAAATTGTTTGTATTGTATTTGTAGTTGACTGCTTTTTATTGCCTAGTGCAATCGCAATAGATGCAATCTTAACAGGAGCTATTTTATGCTTAAACTTTTAAAAACCTTTGTAATTAATGTAATAGCATGTAAGAAATAAATTTTCTGTAGACTTGTAATAAATAAATAAATTAAAACATTTTCTCTGCACTCTTCGCACATTTCATAAGCCCTTATGAACAATAGTAAAATTCCAAAAAATTGCACTCGGAAGTGGTATTCATCGCAAACTAGGTGTTTTTTTTCTAGAATTGGCAACGAAAATTTGCTATTTGTCACATAGTACGCTATTTTCCCCCTGCTGCCAAGGCCCTATCTGAGAAAAAATATTCGCAAATATGTACATACCCATTACACTGGAAGAAAAATTTTCAAACGGTTGTGAAACTCTTAATTCTCAATTTCATGTTTAGCATTGTTTATCATTCAAAATTAAACATTTTCTCAAATATTGTCTATCAACTTAACAACGGTTTGAGAAACATTTCAACAATGCAAAGATGTCGAAGTCTATCAGTAGTTTGCTACATTAGTCGCGACCACGCGGTTGCTGTTATTCGCAATTTGTCTGCCAGAAAATCGGTCCTCGTTCGAATGAATTTAATTTAATTTTTTTTTAATTTATTAATTTTAGTGACAATTTTTTGATAATATTATTTTGTGACTGATCTGCCGACATAGGCTACTGACTGGCCATTAGAACTGAAAATCGAAAGGAAGAAATGGTCTGCTGCATCGATAGTGACCAACAATTTGCATGTATAAAATGAAATAATATGTTCATGTAAAAAAATTTTATTTATGTATCTGTATGTAAAATAAAAAAAAAATACTTTTCTATAAAATCTGTGCGTTTCTTTTACATGCATTGGCAACACTATACAAATATTTCAATGACAGTAACTGGATTTTATTTCAAACCGCTCCTCTCACGTCTGAGGAAAAGTTGAGACTTGAATATTTGTCCGTTTGAAAATAAAGGAAAATTGCATATTAAAAATGTGCCGTTTAGTATGAGAAAGCTATCAACGGTTATTTGAGATGCATTTGAGAAGTGACGTTTGAGATTCGAGAAATGGACTGATTCTCGAATGCATCTCAAATTGAGATTTAACAAAAATGTTTATTGGGTAAGTACGTATGTATGTATGTAGCTATATTTGTATCGTGCCAATCAGCAGAAGATGAAACTCTCAATTCAATCAAACAACGAGCTGTTGTAAATTTATGCTGTTGTAGCTGCCTGCTGCTGCCACATCAATTTTAGTTTGATAGATTTGATTTGCGCTGGAAATATGCTGCCAAATTTTTGCGTATTTTTTGAAGAGCTGCCGATTGAGTGACTGACAACCTTTTTATGAGTTTGTATGTATATGCATATCTCCAAATGTATATGTATGTAAACGTGTACAATCTATATACTTGCGTATGCTTTGTTATTTACAAATAAATAAATCAACATTCAAAGGAGCAGCAAAGAATTGATGTTCATTCAAGTCAGGCGGGCATAATCAAATATTCTCACACAAACAAAATATTAAGTATGTATTGTAACCCAATAAACATTGAAGTAAGTTATTAAGCCATATTTATTAAACTTTTTTTTTATACAACTTAACCACACTAGTTTGTGAAATGTCAATTTTACTTTTTCTTTTTGCAATTTGTTGGTTTTGTTAAAAAAAATGTGAAGGGAGTGAGATATTTGCAAGCAATTTCAATTGAAAATATAAAAGTTTAACAATTTTCTATTGTAGCCGATTGGATAGAGACGCATACTATCATTATTATTATTATTATTAAAAAATGGGACTACTTTGTAGCTATCTATTAACTAACTAGCATTCGACCAGTGATAACTATTTATTAACTATTTCCTTTGCCCGTAACTAACTAATTTTGAAGGGCGATGGCCGCAAAATATTGAGAACTGGTTTCCTCTGCATTAGATGTCAACTAACTTGTAGCTAACTACTTTTCGATATAAAATATCAATAAGAAAAACAATTTTTTTTTTGTAATTTTTTATTTATTTAATATTTGTTTACATACTCTGCTGTAGGTGATCCCATATTCAAAATTATAATACACAATTTCGATCTTCCTTTTATTTGTCCTGAATTCGAAAAGGAACTTGTGAAGTGCACAAAAAAATGTATTCTAAGTAATTTTTGCATGACTCCTGTACGACCTTACAACTAATATAAAGTTAGTTTTGTCATAGCTAATTAAAAGGTTGTTATTTATCGAACTCCCGCAAAAAAGCTAACAAGAAGTTGGTTATTTTAATCAATTGATAATTTTTTCTCCAGGGTAAGTATTTCCTTCAATGAGCAGAGAAGCTTTCTAACTGAAATCAACGAAAAATAAAAATTATAATTTCTATAAATTGTTTATTAAATTTTTAAATAATGTAAATTAACATGAGTGCAAATTAGATAAGATATACTTAAAAAAAAAATAAAACATAATACATTTCGAGACTCGAACCTGCGACCTTCGGATCGCTGGAATAGCTTGGCGTTTTTTTCAATCATTTTTCAACTACCTTTACTATATAAACCTTTTCCGAACGCCGGACTTACTGAAGTAAGTTAACCCTCTCCCTG